TTAAATAGTAAAATTTATATTACCTCGTTATATTATTGTTTGAATAGAAGTCTCACATAATGAAACATTTTACGACTCATTTATATAAATACTCCTTTGGTACCTACAAAATATTGTAAGTACGTATTTATTTGCCAAATGAATAAGGTATTTCCCAATTCCTTATTAGCTAACAAAGCTTAAAGGTACCCAATGTAAACAGAGCTCCGTCATTCAAACATTACTTTGACAAATCTAAGAATCAAGATCTCATGTTATAGCGGTAACGGTTATATTATCAACGTATATTATTGTAACAACATAGTCTATAGAATCTCGTTTGGCAACTAAATTTCGCGTGGGTGTATGTGATTGCCGTTTAAAAGAAACAGGAGACTTTATTTCAAAAGTCACAAGAGCGATTTTAAGTCGCACATAAAAAGTGGTTAAGAATTTTTATGGTGCCCCCATATAGGAATATGTTAGAATACAATCGATTATAGATTTATGAATGCTAAACATCATTATTATCCACCTAATGATTTATTGTTATATTCAAAGTAATGATTAAAATGCCACAAATACATTCGTGTTTTTAGATAAGGGTAATGAGACGTATGGGGACTGGTGTACCCATTATTAGCAAAATAAAGTAGACTAAAAATATTCTGTAACCCCTCCGATCGATCCCCTATCCAATTCAAACGGGGATCGAAATTACGACGGTCTGAGTCAAAGTTCGAACCCCTAGCGGTGCCCTCAGACAGAAGTGGTATCTGTCAGGCGAGAGTTGGGCTTCAGCCGCTCCATAAGTCCTTCCGCGGAAGTGCCATCTGCACTCGCCCCCTATCGCAGAATCCCCTATTACAGAATTAGAGTAGTTCGAAAAAAATCTTTATTCAAATAACCTTAACAAGCATTTTTGAATAGTCACATTTTGTTGATTCTACCACTTATTCGTAACGCAGACTCATCACAAGAAGAACGAGCAAACGTGTGTGTGGCTCTTTTAAATATATTGTCACATAAAGTTTGCCTGAAAACCGTACAAAGTCGACTGCGTGGAACCATCTGTTTCACCTACTTAAGCTGCTGTATAGCTTTGTAACATATGTTTTCGTTCTTTTTCTTTTGCCTGGCTTTCATCCCATTTATTTAGGGTGGACTTGTCAAACTTCGCCAGTACGTTCTGTCCCCCGTCGTCAAGGGCGTTTTTAGGTCCCTAAGTTTTTGGATCGTGTTAATAACAGAAATCCATGTGACCCTGCCGGTCTACCACGTCCTCTGGGCTGGGTTCTCATTGCAAGTACTGTTCTGGTCATTTGATCTGATGATTGTTGCATGACATAACCGTACCACCAGATAAAGTGATATCCTGTAATTTAACTACCTAATCGCACCCTATAACCCAGCCAAACCACACAGCTTACAAAGCAAATTGCTTTGCGGCTAAATAGAAATAGACGAAAACGGGTTATTTTTATAGCATAGGTAAAAACGAGCTTGCGGCTCACCTGATGGGAAGCGATTACCGCCGCCCATGAGCACCCGCAACACCAGGAGAATTGCAAGTGCTTTGCCGGCCTTTTAAGAAGGAACAAGCTCTTATCTTGAATATTTCAATATCGTATCTGTTCGGAAATACCATTGCTGGTAGGTGTTTCCACAATGTGGTTGAACATAACAAGAAGTTTTTGGAAACACGCGCGGTGAAAGACTGCCATTCATCAATATGATCGGGATACCTACCCCACTCAGACGACTTTTTACAGTCTACCTCTGGTTAAATACTCTATTATTTGTAATAGGATAGTAATATTTCATCTTACAGCAGTCGGGTAATGTAGAAAATAAAGAAAGACATAAAAAATGTCATAACCAAGCCAAGTATATTAGCATCATTTAAATGAAGGAGCGTTAATAGACAAGGGTTATTGACTTATCAGAATCTGTGAGTGAGGAAAGATGTTGCAACAGTTCCAAGAAACCGGAGGCTGTATGCTAAATTTTTTGTCACGAACAGCACGTATATTTTTTTATTATTCACAATTAGAACATTTTGTAGATAGATAGTAACTGTATCTCTATGGAACAAAGTATCTTTTTGTAAATGGTTAGAACTAAAAGGACGTTCTAATTTGAAATTTTTTTTTTACCGTACATTCTATAACTAATAATAATATAATTCTATACTATACCACGCATGTATTATACATGTAAACCTTCCTTTTGAATTACTCTATCTATTGCTGAAATTGCATTAAGATCCGTTGGGTAATTTAAAATATGTAAGCTGATAGAAAGCGAAGATGTTCACTATAGAACATTTGATATAATCAACTATATTGGTGGTCTAGCTATTTAACATATGGCCTTATTTTTGATGATCTTGGTTTCGATCCCCTGACAATACAAACATTTGTATTCATGAGTATCACTCACTAGATATATGTATTCGTTTATGGAAAATTAGAGCATTTTTTAATATATTTTAGTAACTGTCATTTTTAGTGTGTAAATGTCTTTAAAAGTATTTTTTTATATTATTCTGAAGTCCATTATTATTTTTGTGTTCAGTGAATTTGAAATTTCAGTGACAAAAATCTTTTTAGGTTTCTTTTGGTTGTATTTTTGTCATTGAAGAATGAGCCAATTTGTCATACCATTGCGCTCCCAAAGTTATCGAAATTTTATTGTTGTAGATATCTCTAACCTTTTTTTTAAATGAAACACACAATAAGTTGACTTTGCAAGAATTTTTAAAATCATTTACATTTCTTTGGACTTTATCCACAAAAAACAAACAATTATTTTGCATTACTATTGGAAACTATTTTACAATGGTTTTGGAAGAATAGGTCTCTTTACATGGAATAGATTAAAACAAAAGTCGTTCTTTAAGTATGTTTGTTCAGTAATAATGAATCTATATATATATACATTTTTTGTAGTTAGGCTCTTGTAAGTTCTGTACAAATTTTAGACAATAATCAAAATTATATATTAATTTCTTTATGCAAAATACATATATCTTACTGTCAAACATGAATGATCCACACCACAGTATTATAAACCGGTTGCATTTTCAACGGTACATAACCAAAGTGGTCGTCTCCCAACTTGACCGAACCAAAAATAAACTGAATCCAGAGAAACCAAAAAGAAATCTACACAGCTCATTGAACACCTGCCCTAATTATAATCCCTAACATCAAAACCTGTTTACAAACAAAAAAGTATACAAACATATTTCTGCGTCCACCAAACTACAACATTAGCTGTTATTGCAAGGCAATAAGGTTCAATAATAAATATATACACAGTGATATTTTGTATAGTATAACTTGAAACTTGCAGCATCTTGATCGTTTTTTTTTTTGATACTGACTACATTTTAATATCTTTTTTATTGAAAGTTTGTTCTCCTCTCATTTAAGATGATGTTTGTTTTATGTCACTGTATTACTTACGGGTATAAAAAGATGTGTAGGCGGTATTATTCCTTTTATCTATGGCACATAGATATGATAACAATAGGTGAGATGTAGAGAGGTTATTAGTACTGAGCGCTGAGCAAAATAAATAATAATTAGGACAATTCACACAGCGCAAAAGCTAAGCAGAGTTTATGTTATGAATATTAGACAACTGATATAAATACATACATACTTATTTTCTAAACATATACATAATATAATTAGATAAAACCCAGACTGATACAAGTAATCATACTAATGAATACAAACGTTTGTGCCGTGCGAAGAATCGAACCTGAAACCTTTAGAAGTAAGATGGTGTGCTAAAAAGTTAGACCACTGACTTCAAATGCTATGTATTAAAATATTGTTTCATATATCAATATGGAATGCCATAACCTCCAGCGATAACGGTATACGTTGGCGGGGCACCATTGGAGGATGACGTGATGAATATGAAGTCGCGTCAGTTAGCCAAACGTGGTGAATTCACCAGGAATTTAGTAGGAGGGTTCCTGGGCAGACCTGTTCATTTAACTGACATGGTATATTTGCTAATAATATAGCCTGTAGTTCCCATTGCTAACAATCCCCTCTCTCCAAGCATCAATGGAAATTATGGATGGAGATTAATCTTTTAAATATCTGTTGTAAATGGAATAATAAATAATCTATTAAAACACCTACTATTAATAAATGTATTAAAATAAAAAAATAATAGGAAAAAAGCAAATATTAAATTTTTAAAATATAATGTGCTAGGGTTTTAAGTGAAGCAAAAACTTTACATCTTTTTTTTACGAAAAGTGCCATTTATTTATGTTGGAGTACAGACTTATTCCTTATATTAAAATTAAAAAAAATATATTACACATATTACAATGATTATGATACTCACATATGTATATATTTATTGGTAATAGAACCTTATTAAGACTTAAAATTTTAATCTAATTTCGACCACTGCGACTACTATATTATGTACATAAATATTACGTCCAGACAATAATATTAATTATTCCACAAAGCATTTCAGAATGTAAACACAGTAAAATTAATTTATCTTTAAATAACTGTATACTAGCGCCATCTATTAGACTTTTCATACAACCCACTGCAATACGAATGCAGTGGAAATTAGTACGTAAAATGTTCATAATAATGTAAGGTATTATTGGATATTAATACATTTACAATTCTAAATATTATAAAATAAACAATGTGAGAAACGTATATTTATAATATGTATTTCTACATAAAAACCATTTTAATTTACTTTTAAAGCTACTTTATTTTCAACGGGCTACTTTATTTTATTATATGGCTTTATATGTAAACTAGCTATCTGACTTCGCATGGGTTTACATGTATTATACATACAAACTCTCTTCAATTCTATCTATTGCTGAAAACTGCATTAAAATCCTTTGCATAATTTAAAAGATAAGCGAACAAACTGCGAAGCTACTTCATTTCAAATATGTTTTCAACAATAAAAGTCATAAAAATATAATAGAAAAAATATATATATTGAATTTTCCTTACCTCATATAAATCTATTTAGATACAATAATCCAAAACAAACAATCAATTCAAAGTCACTATAAACACGTCATTAAATCCACTACACAACACAAAACGTACACACTTTATCCACAAAAAAAAAGTATTTTTTAAAAAACGAACACTCAATTTGAAAAGAGAATAAAACGTCAACGCATTCAAAAACCGAATTCGAAAAGTTAAGGCGCGAAACTCGTCCCATTCATCGTAACTCGTAAGATCGGACGTGCGTCGCGAGTAAATGTTTACCGCGCACTGTGACTGAAGTAACGCAACTGGTAACAATGCATTGAAACGAGGTATGCGTGACGCTTGATAAGCTCCGCGCATGCATCCAGATGCAACCAACAATTAGTGCATTCAATCCGAGTGCTTTTCAGGTTCTGTTGGCGAATGTTATTAGACAAAGTAGCACGATCGTACACCTGTCTTGTTTGCTTTTTTTTTGTTGTGTTGTTTTACGGCCCTGGAAATTCCCTTTCAGCCAAACAATTACATTATACACATACAAGTTAACTATTCGTTATTAAGTACTTATGGCATTGAGTATTCTTGTTTGTTATAGGTAGGGTTGCCACATTGCCAAACCCAATAGCCGGACTGACCAACTAGTTTGGCCGGACATTTGTGCAAAAAGGCCGGACACCCTACATTATTAAGCCCTTTATGTATAATATTAATATGTCAAAAAAAATCTATGTAAAATCTAAAACTTTTTTTTTATTATTACCACAAATTCATAAACTTTAATGGGATATATACAAAATCGAATACCAAATCAGTCAAAAATATATTCTAGATAAACATTTATCAACATTTTTCAATTCGTCTTAAATGGAAATTCTTTTTACAAATAAGTTTTATTTACTTGCTGTTACTTCAAAAAGCAAAACAAATTAAAACAAAAAACAATCTAAAAAAAACTACATTTCTCTTGAAGTTAAACAATAAAAATAATTATTTGTTATACAATAAAAACAATAACTAACAAAAGCCGGATATCGTTTATTTTGGCCGGACATGCAATCAAAAAGCCTAACTATGTCCGGCTTTGTCCGGACGCCTTGCAATGGTAACTATACTAACTAACTATGACGTATTGGGGGACTCATAAACACCTATTAAGTACTTTGTATATGTACTAGTAAAGCAATTAAGTAATTAAACATTATCTTTTCAACCTTTCATCCATAACTAAATATAGGTTTCATCTATAAATTTTAAGTCATAAAGTTTACCTCCCTGCAGCATTTTTATAGTCCTCACTATATGAGTAAATTAATATCGTCACTGTACCTCGTGGGGGGTCGCTTTACACTACATTTCTTCATACAGGGTCTTCATTCATTAATCTTCCGTATTTAAATAAATAATTAATCTTGGACAATTGGGGGAAAAGGGGACTGACAGTAATGTGGACTGATGATCTTATTGCTAGCAATGTACCATGTCAGGTTGACCTCCATGCGGTTCGCCTGGAACCATCGTGATAAATTCTTGGTGAATTTGTCATGATGGGCTAACAGACCTGACCTCATCTTATTATCCTACACTGGCGCCTCACCGGCGTAAACCGTTAGCGCAGGAGGGTGCACCATTCCATTATCATCCAAAAAAAAAACCTTGGTCAATTAACACGGCGCCATCTAGTCCATCGGTAAGCAGATCTGTGTTACAAATTTATATAAATGTTTGTGTCGTACGAGGAATAAACCCGCGACTATCGAAAGTAAAGCGGTGTGCTAAACCGCTACACCACCGAGGGCGTACCTATGAGACTTAACATTACAGCATACACGATTAAGTCTGATAGTTCAATTAATAGATTGATCACTCATTCGATTAATTATTCGGTTAATTAATTAATTAAGAAATTTATAATCGCAGATTAGGCATTGAGATGTATTGTCAAATTTGCGCGATAACGTGCCACAGAGCAAACACAGCACAGAATCTGTAACAAAAATAAATTATAACATCTATTAATCTTAGTCGACCTTTTTTTGCAACTATTTACAACAGCGAGTCGAGACAAATGTCATTTAAACAGTTTTTTTATACTGTACTTAAGTGGTTCTCAACCTCCACTCAACATTTGGGGCATTTGTAGTTAAGTGGCTCTCAAAGTGTCATCAAACCTTTTGCCGTTTTTTTTAATTGCTCTAAATCTTGAGTGTGAATTTGTTTGATATTTTACGTTTACATTCAAATTGTAGCAGATGGGCACCATATGCACGACTGAGATATTTGTTTATTAATTCTTTTGCTAAGGCGAAAAGCGAGGTAGACTTTCGAAGCAGATTTTGAAATTTCAAATATCGAAGTAGATTTTGGACAGATACAGTAGCTCAATATAACTCATTTCAGGCACCAAACAGCTTGCTTTGTGACCTGTGTTTCGGTTGAAGGGTGAGATATGGCAGTTAAATTACGGGGTATGGAGGGAAGGGGATGGTTAATAATGTGGATAAATAACCCCATTGCTCGCAATGTACCTTATCAGATTGACTTCCACGCGGTAACCCCGGGAAACCATCATGGTAAATTCTTGGTGAATTTGCCACTATGGTCTAAATAACCTGACCTCATGTTCATCTTATCATCCTCCAGTGATTCCCCGCCCGAGTAAACCGTTGACGCAAGCGGGTGCACTATTCCATTATTATCCGTGAAAAATTATGTCATATTTTTTTTAAGTCCTCGGACGTGAGTTGCCAACTCACGTCCGAGGTACTATTTTCATCACTATTAGGTGGGCATGGTCCAATTGCATAAAAACATTTTAGTATCTGCCCGATTAGTTATTACGACCTATTAGTTCTAAATCAAAGTTTTTAACCACTAGACTACGACGGTCTCTACTACAAAAGTACTAATAAAAACAATATACTGATAAAGTGAAATATTTATAATGCGCGGGGTTCAAACCCACTATCACTGTGTGGTAAGACAGTATGCTACCGCTATACTACAGAGGTCTTTATATAAGTTATTTTTAAGACAATATATCTAAAAAAGTAATCATACAACTTTATCTAACACAACCACTATTCTTCACAAAACGACCTCAAATCAAGGTTTTTTTTTAATGTAAAATTCACAGCACATCCATTGTCTTAATACAATATAAAACAAATGTTCCTTTACGTAATTCTCAGGCTGTTTTAAAAACGATACACATATATCTTTGTTTTTATCTATACCCATCTCTTTTTTCCCAGCATCTTGGTCCACCACCTGTCGTTTACATGTTCATCTGAAAATATCTCGAATGATGCAAGAAATACAGTTGAAATTTGTTTGATTAGTCAAATGATTGATTCCAACTGGTTTCTTTGCAGCATACACGATTTCTCAGCATCGGATAGAAGTCTGATTAAATTAATCGAGTAACTGAAATGAAATTTTGATTGCATACGTTATTTGGGAAGGCAATGCAACCAGCAAATTATATATTACGGATCAATCAGCTTATATAATTCGTATTTCGAAAGCTCTATAAGATATTATGATAGTTACTTATATTAAGTTTATTTGAATAAAGATTATTTCTATTTCAGATCCAATAGGTATTTTCAGAGGTATGTTTACTTATATATTATATTTACTGCAAAATATTTTAATGAAATATAATTAAAAATAATAATATTTCATGACAAATCACGCAGCGCTATCTAGTCCCATGATAAGCAGAGCTTGTGATATGTTTACTAGACAACTAATATAAATACTCATATATAATTTTTTTTATAAAGAGATACATAACTTACATAGAAAACACCTAGACCGATACAAACAATTATACTATGAATACAAATGTTTGTATCTTGCGAGGAATCGAACCCGCGACCATCCAATGTAAAGGGATGTGCTAAACTGCTAGACCACCGAGGTTGTCAAATATGTATGTAACAAGTGTAGGTTCTCATCCTAGTTGGCCATGTAGTATTACTTTTTTATGTAATAGAAATGGTAAAGAAGCTAACGGCCCACCTGACGGTAAGTGGTAACAGTCGCCTAATAGAAATAAAACAAACTACTAAGCTGAATTTGTTTTCTGAATACGCTAAATATAGTTGAAATATATAAATTAATATTTATGGATAATTACCACAACGGCATCTGATAGTAAGTTTTTTTTTCGGACTACTCTAATGCTGTTGGCCGCAGCTGGCCTTTACAGCTTCACCGGACGATAGGGGGCGAGTGCAGATGGCACTCCAAACCCGTGGAAGGACTTATGGAGTGGCTGAAGGCCAACTCTCGCCTGATGGATATGACTTAAGTCTGAGGGCACCGCTAGTGGTTCGAACCTCGGCTTAGGCCGTCGTAATTTCGATCCCCGTTTGAATTGGACACGGATCGATTGGAGGGGATTATATTTCCTACAGGTACACATTAATTTATACATAGACTAACTACATGTATTATATATACAAACCTTCCTCTAGAATCACTCTATCTATAAAAAAAACCGCCTCAAAATGCGTTGCGTAGTTTTAAAGATTAAAACATACATAGAGACGGACAGACAGCGACAGCGACTTTGTTTTCTACTAAGCAATGATGAGACTGAAGTATCCATGCAAACGTCTACAACTCTTAAACATAAGTATATATTGATATCTGTATCTATATACCTGTCAATATAATTTTTAAAATAGACCATTAAAAGATTCAATTCGATTTATATTTATAGGTTATACACCCAATTCGCAGAATTTTCATTTCACAGTCCGTATATTAATTCAATTCCCTGAATTTATAATTTTTCATAGGAAGTCATGTTTCATTTTATAAATGATAATTAATTAGGCATCTCCATAGAATCGAATATACCTCCTGCTCAACAAAAAAAGGTGTAATGACTACACTGTCCGTAGCAAATCTGTACTTTTAAGCATGACTGTATTGCTATGTAGCTGACGGCCTCGGTAGTCTAGCAGTTTAGTACAAAGCCTTACCTCCGGTGGTCGCGGGTTCTATTCCTCATATTCTAATAATGAATATGATTGTTTGTATTGGTGTGTATTGTCTTTTCTTATATTTATAGCATAGGCAACTAACTTGTTTGTGGCTCACCTGATGGTAAGTGAATTGCAAGGGCGTTACCAGCTTATTACGAAGCAGTAAGCTTTTTTTTTTAAAGTATCAGTATCGTATCTGTTCGAAAATACCATTGCTGGAAAGTGAATCCACAATGTGGTTATGCGTGGTAAAAAGTTTCTGGAAAAACACAACAAGGTATCAAAATAGGTAAGGACTGAAAAATATGGGTAGATTATTTAATAGAAAAGATACAATAGAAAATAAAGATACAAAATTGACAATGGTAAAACAT